CTCCTAGTCGGTTCGAATATGTCCCCGATTGCGCAAAACACGATCGGGCCTTGTTGTTGGAATTCCGAGTGGGCGATGACACGCGTCCGCGGATAGAGCAACATCAGCGCAATGGGAAGGGATGGGAGGGAGGGGTGAGCTGTCAGATATGGCGCGAGCGCGCCTAGCTTGTCGTCCCCCTTCTCTGCGTCCTGCTCCCCCTCCTCAACTTCCTCCACGTTCCTCCCGCCCCCCTCCCAATCCTCCCCCCCCCCCTCCCTGTCATCCTCCCCGTCCTCCTCCTTATCCTGCTCTTTCCCCTGCTCTTTCCCTTTCCAAAGGCCACGGTGGCTCGAAGGCGCCCTGGCAGGCCTGGGGATGATTCCCGCCGCGGAGCGGTGATGTCTCTCGTTCCAGAGCCCCCCCGGCCATGGCGGCCATGCGGAGGGCAGTGATGACGCTCCTGACGTACAACCCAACCCACGCGCCGTGGGACACGTCGCCGTATACGAACACGAGTTGTGGAATGACGTTGTTGCTGAAACGTTGGAGATTCCGCACATCACATATCACTCGAGTCGAACAGCCACCAGCGGGCCTTCTGGGACGGGGAGGAACATGGACGCATCCCCCAGGGAAAACTACAGTGCAAGTTCATTTTGGCATACTTCCCGACGATCCCGAAGGCACCTGAGGCCAATCCATCATGGCAGATCACGTCAGACAAGTTAATTCAATGGGTTGAATATGAGCTCGAGCACACGCCTCGAGACTCCAACGGCGCCCCTCCAGCGGGAACATACCAAGTGGGACCTCGACAGAGTGGCTGCCCTTTTACAACGTGGTGAAGACAGAGGCCCCTTCCTGACGGCGCTGAATGAGGAGTTGCTTGCGATTGAGAACAATTTCGTGGTGGCTGAGACCACCAGCACCCCTGACATGCACTACGCGCTCTTCATGAATTGTGTTCGTGCTGCAGCAGTGCCCCTGTTCACGCGTCAGTATACGACGACGCCTGAATCTCAGGACCCCATCCAAGAAAGAGATCGACTACTTCGCGTCCGATCCCAACTATGAAGAGATCATGCGCTCCGTTCCGACAACGCTATCTTACCTCGCCTGAGGCGCCTCAATGCCCAACTTACTTGGATACGTAGACGACGAATGGCACGAGCGAAGCAGCTAAGACAGGAATCGTTGCTGGAAGCACTCAGGCGGGGGAACCACGCGGTCGCGCACAGAGTGGCAAGGGCGCTTACCTATGCAAAGGTCGGCGCTAAGAAACGAGTTTACGATGCATTGCTTTCACGATCTGCCTCAAAGGAGGAATGGTACGAAGCCCTATCGAAGGATGGGCCTGAGAAAGGCTTTCCAGCGACATGCATTACCCCGCCTGTGGAATACACATTTCCTGAGGACCTACATGACCTTCGACATCAACACGGATTTGCAGTTGGTCAAGCCCCTGGGGCCGCAGGTATTTCACAGGCACTACTCGACGAGGCCCGAGAGCACATGCAGCGTACCATTCACCTTCTACACAGAGCTCAGCGACGTAGAGATGCACCAGAATGGAGTATTCCCGCAGAACTATTAATTGTGATCGCCTCCCCACATACCTGTCTCGCCCCGCTCGTCCGAGCGGGGGCCTTGGCGATGCACGTGCACCTGCGCGCATTCGTTTCGAGGGCGGCCGAATCCGCGAAGACGCCACTGACGAACTACGAGCACGAGGAAGGCGCCTTTTCCCACTTGAGGACATCGAACACGCTGGGGAAGGCGCAACCAAGCTTTATCCGATTCATGTGCACGTATGCTGTGTGGGTGCCGTTCCTCAGGCTGCCAATCAGAGTGAGGTATGCATATTATCCAAGACGAAGACGTTTACCCCCCTCCCGAAGATCCATTCGCCCGAATACCTCACGATCACGGCCGCGGGCTCTGCGGTTTCATGCTGTAGGCACATCCACGCCATGTGCGGTTATTGGAGGTGCCGTTCCCGCTCGCTACTCACGTGCGACTGTGTCGCATACCGCCCGCCGCCCTGGGCATGGGGGGGGGGGGCGCTGGCGCCGCGAGGCTGCGATCGCCATCCACAGGGTGCTTTTTTGGAAATCTAAGTCAGCCAGACAAAGCGGTGTGGGTCGGAGCGGCGACCATACTAACGCCGTTGCATGCGGTACTCACGCACGTCGTTTCACTCAGATAAGCGAGTTTGCCCCGTTCCACCTCCAGCCCCTTTTTCGTGAGAGGCGTGGCGCCCTCCGTGCGCGACTGCGTGTTTTTGATGGCGACCTATGGCCGCGCATGGGGAGCGGCGGACCCATGGGGTGCAACAGCGAGCCTGGGCGTTTTATGCGAGATTACTACGCGCTGGTCGAGCGCTGGCGAGGCGCTCGAGCGGGCGCGACTTCGGCCCCGTGGATGATCAATGACTTTCCTGAATTTGGCGACATCGATCGGAGCCTTGTCGGATTCATCGAGGATCTTTTTCGCGTGATGTTACTGTCTCATCCGAATGCATTGCATACCTAAATGCGGAGGGCAACGCGTTTGACCAATGGCTTCGGCGTGGTGGTTACAAGCAGAATCGCTCGAGGGAGGAAAGCATAGTCTCATTAGATACACGCCAACATGTACACGAGCTTGCAAACCATGACCAACTACCATGTGTTCTATTGCATGCACTACGCCATCTTGGAGGATGGGCAATCCCAGCATGCACTAACACTACTGATGTGGACAAGCGCCTCGTACGTCTATTGGTTGGTGTGCCTACCCGGGGGCTTGGCAAAATCAGATCCCCAGCGATTTCAAGCGTTTACCTTTCTTGGGAGTGGTTTATGCTGCTAATCTAAGTGGTCTTGAAGCACACGCGTTGACCAAGGGGGATGAGGATCGTTCAGATGGAGCTGTCGTTCGTAAGCTGAGACGTATGATGATGGGCCAGGCCTCGTGGACTGACCCCAGTGGCCAGACAACAATCGACGAGCAACGCCGCAGTCTTGAAATATCGGAGCTTGGCCCCAGTGTCGCTCGCCCTCACGGTTCGGCGTCTTGCCTGGTATGAAGATGCTCGGTGTTTGCAACGCCAGCCTCGACAGTGGTGGGCTACGCTCTTGGGCAGATGTAGGTTCGAGCACGAGCGCGATCGATCCAATGAACTAGGAGATCTCGGATTACCAATCGCCCCGCCCACGATCGTGGACGGCAGAATCAACATGAACCCGAAAGCGAATCCATGGGCCCGTTAGTTTGTCCGGGATCTCCTGGGCCTGGCCGAGGACGAGGAGGCGGGGATGTTTAACGAGCTCTGGGAGGACCGCAGGGTCGCCACGGTTTTCCAGGATAACGCTGTCCAAGCCCTGGGTATCATCGATGAGAAGCGACTGCTGAAGACGTACTCGAGCGTCGCCATCCCACCACATTCCACTGCACCGCTGCTGCCGCCGCCTGCCGCTCCCATAGGGGATGAGGGTCTTGGTGATTTCGTATGTGGGCTGAAGAAGGAAGGGGGAGAGCCATATGCCAACATCGAACGAGAACACGAAACGGCTTTCAACTAATCCTGGGCAAACTCTAGATGCTATGCGACCCGAACGAAATCCCCATATGAGTTCATCGAACCGCCCGATCGAACGTCCCGTGTGCTCCGTAGCTGTTGATTTCGAGACCTTTGCCGAACTTGAACGCCACCTCTTCACGCACATTCCCGTGCCACAAGCAGGAGAATTACGGGTCGTGGTTACAGATGGCGGCCCCCGCCTGGCTCCCCCAGGTGAAGGACTCCGAGATGGACGAGGGCAGGGGGGAGCGCCGCGGGAGGGACGATGCCGAGCCGAAGGACGGCCCTGCTGGCAAGGGCCGCAAAGTCAGCTGCCCGCAACGCAGATCCCGCCGCCGCAACACGGAGATGCCGAAAGAGATGACCATTGCGGACGGCATGAAGGCGATGCTCATGACGATGTTGAAGCAGCTCATCATCAACACGAAGCAGCTCCGATAGTTCAGGGGCCAACTGTACGATACGTACCTCTTGGAGGTCAAGACAAAACTCGTGTTAGCCATGCAGGACGGAGGCGCCGCCTACGCCGCAGCGGTGTAGGAGAATGGGAAGGGCCATACACTCGCCCCCCCTGCGGGGACAATGTTCGTGTACATGATGGATCAGCTTATGGAGGAGGAGGAGGTGGGGGCCCAGAACCGCAAGTACCTAGAAGCCCTCATGGACCAGATGAGGGAGCGAGAACCATGGGATCTGATCCAAATGTGCCACGTGTGCCGCCTCGAGAGGTGCTTCGACGAGACAAAAGTGAATATAGTTCTGGCCGTCCCCGACTTCAACTTGAGGAAACTGCTGAGATCGAGCATGGAGCAGATAGGAGCCGTGACTACGATGGGACAGGCCCCCGCAAGGTATCTGGAGGAGGAGCTCGGGGCGTACGCCGACATGCTGCAGTAGGTGCGGCGTCCAGGCGACCAGCCAGCGCACCGAGTAGAAGGGGGAGGATGGGGAAGGTCAAAGTTCGCTAGAGAGTTTCGGTTTCAAGCGGCGCCTCGACTGAGGAGGTGACCGCGGAAACCCCGTTCTCAGTCCGTCGGGGGGCGGGCTGTTTTACCCATTCCAGGGACCACGCTTCTGGGGCGTGACAGCGAGGCGATTGCGAGTACAGCTGATTGTCTGTTTTGTTCACTGGCCAGCGAGTTCAAACATCATGAATCGGCCCTCTAAGCTGCCTAATAAAAAAATCCCTTTCCACGTCATCCTCCTCTTCTTCGTCGTCGTCGTCCTCCCCATCCTCCTCCTCCTTTTCTCCGTCCTCCTCCTTCTCTTCCCCCTTTTCGTCCTCTTCCTCCTCCTCCTCCTCCTCCTCCTCCTCTCCTATTCCTCATTATGCTCCGCCCACCCTCTTCCTCCTCCTCCTCCTCCTCCTCTTCTTCCTCCTCCTCCCGTCAAAACACGCTTCCCGTGACCCTGCCATCAAACAAATGCATAGCGTTGAATATGGAAAAGGTGGCGCGGGCCAGCGCGGCAGTCTCGGACCAGTCGTCGAACGTGAGGAACTGGAACAAGGTGACGAGACATCTCCTTTGCGGCTCCAGTTTCACCTCTTCCTCCACTTCAACGACTGCCCAACCTGCAACGACTTTCCAAACAACCTAATGGGATCCTTTTCGCATAAACAGATCTGCCTCTGGCGACAACCTATGGGCTCCAAGCCAGCCAAAGACCGATCCGTGAAGACAACGTTGGCCTTGGGGAGGAGGAGCCAAAACTTGTCCGGGGTCGGGACTGTGATGGGTCTTCGAAACGACAATGCAATTTGTTTGTCCGTTTTCGTTTGACATTTTTTTCCAGTTCCGTCGCGGTTCCTTGTCCGGTTCCCGCTCTGAATTCAATTCCACTGCATTTTCTTAGTTTCGGCTAACATGTGTTATTTCCCAACCATCCTGTGGTGTTGAGACGGTCCCCGCGTTCCTCCTTCCTTGCTTCCTCCTCCTCCCTCCTCCTCCCTCCTCTTTGCGTTTCACCCAACCAGTACAGCGTTTCGTGGCCCCATAGGGAGCTCCACCGAAGGCCCCAGTGCCACCGCCCGCATGCGTTACCCACCCCCATTTCGGCACACCCCTCACACGTTTCGTCGTGGCCCCATGGGGAGCTCCACCGAAGGCCCCAGTGCCACCGCCCGCATGCGTTACCCACCCCCATTTCGGCACACCCCTCACACGCTTCGTGGCCCCATAGGGAACGCCACCGAAGGCCCCAGTGCCACCGCCCGCATGCTTTACCCACACCCATTTCGGCACACCCCTAACACGTTTCGTGGCCCCATCAGGAGCTCCACCGAAGGCCCCAGTGCCACCGCCCGCAGGCGTCCCCCACCCCCATTTTGGAACACCCCTCACACGTTTCGTCGTGGCTCCATAGGGAGCTGCATCGAAGGCCCAAGTGCCACCGCCCGCATGCGTCCCCCACCCTCATGTCGGTACACCCCTAACTCGTTTCGTGGCCCCATAGGGAACGCCACCGAAGGCCCCAGTGCCACCGCCCGCATGCGTTACCCACACCCATTTCGGCACACCCAGTACAGCGTTTCGTGGCCCCATAGGGGGCTCCACCGAAGGCCCCAGTGCCACCGCCCGCATGCGTTACCCACCCCCATTTCGGCACACCCCTCACACGTTTCGTCGTGGCTCCATAGGGAGCTTCATCGAAGGCCCAAGTGCCACCGCCCGCATGCGTCCCCCACCCTCATGTCGGTACACCCCTAACTCGTTTCGTGGCCGCCCAATAGGGAGCTCCACCGAAGGCCCCAGTGCCACCGCCCGCATGCGTTACCCACCCCCATTTCGGCACACCCCTAACACGTTTCGTGGCCCCATCAGGAGCTCCACCGAAGGCCCCAGTGCCACCGCCCGCAGGCGTCCCCCACACCCATTTTGGAACACCCCTCACGCGTTTCGTGGCGCCATGGGGAGTTCCACCGAAGGCCCCAGTGCCACCGACAGCATGCGTCCCCCACCCTCATTTCGGCACACCCCTTACACGTGTCGTGCCCCCATGGGTAGTTCCACCGAATGTCCCAGTGCCACTGCCCGCAGATGTCCCCCACACCCATTTCGGCACACCCCTCACACGTTTCGTGGCCCCATATGGAGCTCCACCGAAGACCCCAATGCCACCGCCCGCATGCGCCACCCACGCTCATTCCGCCACCCACGCTCATTCCGCCACACCCCTAACACGTTTCGTGGCCGCCCCATAGGGAGCTCCACCGAAGGCCCCAGTGCCACCGCCCGCATGCGTTACCCACCCCCATTTCGGCACACCCCTAACACGTTTCGTGGCCCCATCAGGAGCTCCACCGAAGGCCCCAGTGCCACCGCCCGCAGGCGTCCCCCACACCCATTTTGGAACACCCCTCACGCGTTTCGTGGCGCCATGGGGAGTTCCACCGAAGGCCCCAGTGCCACCGACAGCATGCGTCCCCCACCCTCATTTCGGCACACCCCTTACACGTGTCGTGCCCCCATGGGTAGTTCCACCGAATGTCCCAGTGCCACTGCCCGCAGATGTCCCCCACACCCATTTCGGCACACCCCTCACACGTTTCGTGGCCCCATAGGGGGCTCCACCGAAGACCCCAATGCCACCGCCCGCATGCGCCACCCACGCTCATTCCGCCACCCACGCTCATTCCGCCACACCCCTAACACGTTTCGTGGCCGCCCCATAGGGAGCTCCACCGAAGGCCCCAGTGCCACCGCCCGCATGCGTTACCCACACCCATTTCGGCACACCCCTCACACGTTTCGTAGCCCCATACGGAGCTCCACCGAAGGCCCCAGTGCCACCGCCCGCATGCGTTACCCACCCCCATTTCGGTACACCCCTCACACGCTTCGTGGCTCCATAAGGAGCTCCATCGACGGCCCCAGTGCCACCGCCCGCATGTGTTCCCCATACCCATCGGCACACCCATGAGACGATTCACGGCCCCATAGGGAGCTCCAGCGAAG